TCTCTTGGACACCACCCATAGAGTTGTGATGCACCAACAGATGCTAACTCCATGTAAATGTCCTTCATCCCAAGGCGGCACGTCATACACTGACCGCCCTTCCACTTCTTCCATCCAGTCCTAAGGCTAGCGAACAATGAAAAATGTGGAAGCCGTTGAGACGAGATGCGTAACACATGTTTAAGCCATCGAAACCAGTGTTTCTAGATCACCTATTTGATGATCTCCATCATGCCTAAACACACGCTATCGTACTTCAATTACTGACATGATGTTGCAACTGGATACGAGGAGTCCTACGAAGATAAACCTCACTCTACCCGAGGTGTTTTATATATAGGGCTTTCAGGATTTGAATAAGTTTCTCAGACATGCCCCTCTCTAACAGACAGTTCCAGAGCACAGCCCTGTCCAACGACTTGAAAGCAACCCTATTGTCAAGAAACAACTATTGTTGGCCTACAATGGGCGTAGCGATGTTCAAGCATCTGGCGGATGGTAAATGCATGATCAATCCATCGACGACCTGAATGAAAACCAGCCTGCTCCTCTGTTGGTAACAGACTATTACTTTGGTAGTTGTCACATACATTAAGCAAACCTTTCTTAAAGATGGGCAGAATGATGGCCTCATACCGGAGTGATGGGACAGTTTCAGTCTGCCATACCCTCCCAAACAAAGTAGTCAGTTACTCGACTAAGGTCGTTCCTCCATCCTTGAAAGGAGCTGGACCAGCTAAACTGCTTTTCGAAGTGCTACGCTCAGCGTTCCATCCATCATCCATCCAGATCAACCTAGGACCAGGCATCACTGCATAACGGTCCGAGTTGCCACACCTCATATCAGTACATCAAGTAAAACGGCAGTGAGGCGCAAGATGAAGATAAGAGAATGCAGTCAAAAGAAATACCAAGTACGAGAAAAGAGAAACGAAGGATGAGAAAGTGGTGAGATTCGGTATAGCGTCGTCAAGATGAGGATAGTGTATGTATACATCTGCGCCACTGACATTGGTTATGAGCCACATCACCCAGAGTCTCCAACCACTGGTTCCTCTTGTTCCGCGGACCCCAACCACCTAGTCTGCATCTCTCCACATGGCTCAAACCAACAGTCAGAGACTTCATACATTGGTGCCATGTTTTAGTCTGGCCACGTCGGGCCTTTTTCCATCCTGGACCTGCTTCAGCGTTCCAGTCACCCTTGAAACTGTTTATCAGAGTGCCACTTCCCTCATAGGCCGTCTGACTGGCACCAGGTTTCTTGCCGCCTGTAGCTTGGATGGTCTGGAACAGCTACTGACCGCAGCCCAATGCAGCTGCTGCCTCCATCTCACTCATGCGATCTGACCACCAAGCTTTATCTAAGCATTATGTAGTCTTTCGCATAACAGACTTACCCAAACTATTGTACTCACTGTTCATCGGAATAATCTGTAGGACGTCAGGAAGTTGCAGGGAGCTCGCAAAGACCCAGTGTTTTATTAGCAGGATGTTCTTCCAAACTGCAAATGGCTCTACGTGCCATTTTCATGGCGTCTTGCAAGTGCAGCCAATGCTTGTCTACATTTTCTGGAGGATCGGTAGCTAGTCTTAAATTTAGCTCGGATTGGTATTTATCTTTAGAGTTAGGTGCAACTAATTTGCTTACATCAACCTGTTTAAGACGACGATTTTGATGACCAAAACACAAGACGAGCTTAGTACACACTAAAGCATGATCAGAGTCGAGATAAGTACTCCACTTGGGGTGCCAGTCCTGTATGCACCCACACCATCGGTAGCTGATTGCGATATGATCCATTTGAGTCCAGGTTTGAGTAAAAGAGGGAGGACATGAAGTAGTACAACGGCGATAGCTGTGCCAGAAGTTGGTGCTGGCTAGAAATAGGTTGTTATCTGCGCAAAGCTGCAGAAGACGATCCTCATTACCCAACCTGCTACCAGCTAAAACCCATTGACCACCTCAACGGTTCTACTTTGAGTCTCGACGCCCGACCAGCTTATTGAAGTCCTCTGGTAGCACTACGATATCTGTCGAGTGTGCTTGGTTGAGAAAGTCACTCAACTGACATTTGAAGTCATCCTTGGTTTCATCCGGGCTGCAATCCGTCGGAGCATAGGCAGAGATGACAAATAGGCATCGTTTCTCTCGCCAGTCGCTTCTTACTCGAGATGCACCTTCTAGCCGACTGTTGATGAAGATGTAATCGAGTAGTGCAGCACTACCGTTTTTAGGATTATTAGCATTCTCTGGGAACAATGTAAGTAATTCTGAAATGAAGTGGTGTCTGTTAAGGCATATTAAAGATAGTAAATACTTCTTTGAATGGATTTCTTAAGTTACTTGTTCACTTATCAATTTCTAATTTTTCATTTTTTTTATTTATCTACACCATATATATCACTTTTATACCTTGCTAATGTTTTGTATGGTCCATCGCTTGGTACCCATGTACCAAGTTTTTTTCAAAGGAAGACCAAGATATGACTTTTGACTTGTAAGGTACA